TCGGTCCGAGAGGCATCTGAACTAGTTTCTTTTTCCTCACCCTATCTCCCAGTCATGCAAGTGCTTGAGATTTCTTTTCCTCCATCCTGCTTCCCTCTTGCTCTTATGGTCTTTATACCACCTCATCATGAACAAATTCACATTTCGTTCTCCCACCATTCCCACGTAACAGGATCATGTAATCTATCTCCACACTCAGGCCTGTTAGAGGCACATGAAAGCCTGCAAGTAATTCTTTCTAGAAAATTATCTTTTCATTTATTTCTAATCCATCAAAGATATTAGAAGCAATGTGATTGCAAATAGCTTCTGAAAGGGCAGTAGGCGGGCCAGGTTTTCTATTTAAAGTTAGTTTTCATACATAAACAATCTATAAATGTTGCTATCAACCTTCCTTTTTGGCAACAGCTACTATATTCAAAAATTCTCCTTTTGAGAATTATTTTTCTTAAAAATAGGCATCTTCATATTCCTTGGAGGGTTTGATGGATATTTTTCTGTTAAGATTTTAGAAATAAACAGAAAATGCCCTGATTTTTTATATTACTGTGGCATTAGAAGGCACCCTGGTAGCAGGTACTTGTAGTGAGACACTATCTTCACTATTCCTTGTGCTTTTCTCGCCCCTTCTTCCTCAACTTTCAATTCATCCACCACAAGCTAGACGAGAATTTAGGTGCTTAGAGGAAGCACTTAAGGAGAAAGAAACTTGTGGTATTATTTTTGGTTCCTGACCTAAGATTGTAAGATTCAAAGGAAAAAACCCTGAGGGCAAAGAGCTGAGCAAATGAAATCTTTTCAAGAAAAAAAGTCAGCCAAATGCCAGCTCTGGCCCCCAGCAGCAGGAAGCAGCAGGAAGCTGAGTCAATACCTGGGGGCCAATTCCTGAGAGTTCATCTTCCTCCTCCACCCTCCTTGGGACAAAGGTGACAACTTCCTCTAGCAAGCACTGCTGAGCTCTGACCATTTAGTCATTCAGCAAAAGATGGATTCTTCCCCATCTCCCTGCCAGGAACCTTGATGAGCTCTCACCTGAATGGACACTCAAAAAAAATCAGGTAAAAGCTTATTTTATTTCCTTCATTAATAGGCAGAGAAATTCAGTGAACTTGAATTTCTACCAGATTAAACTATGATGTGTGGATCTTAAGTATCAATGTTTCTATTTGACTCATTTACCATAATTAGGTCACCTAGTGCTAATACACTGTACTTTTTCAAAATAGACTTGACTCAAGAGCCTGCTTTATCTCACTGTGCGGGACCATCTGTGCTCTCCTTCCAGAACTTGAGCTCCAGGGCGTACACAAATGTTTCTATAGTTCCTAAAATGAAAGACAGTTCACATCTGGCAACAAAGCACACAGAGCACAAGTTTATACGTATCAAAGAAAAATTTGCGCAACATTTGACATTTCTACAAGTTGATCTGGAAAAATATGGGCAGAGTTGAGAGAAAAAGCTTCATGTGCCATTAAACGGCAGGCAGACATCCAATTTAAGATGTGCTTTTAAAGGGTCATTGGTCTTGTGAGAAAATAGACTTAAGAATTCTTATGGCTGTGACAGCCCCAGTGGCATCAGGCATGAAATTAACGAAGCTGTCAAAAAATATTTGTTGATGAGCTGTATTAAGAAATTCTAATTGTGCAATAATGAAATGTTAGAGATTCAACAAAGCAACGGTAAGTTTACCTAAAGTTGTTGCTATACAATGGATTTGGTGCTTTCCAAGATGGCCAAGTCATTTCTCTGCTAAAACAGCCTCCATGTCATTGGGAAGGACAGTGTGATAGAGAATTCTAGAATACAGATGTGTCATCTTCCCTACTGTTTTTTCATACATTCATTTGCACCACTAATTTATCTGTTTACCTTGCAGCCCAAATCTTCAAGGGGAAGCATTTTTCGGTTTACACCATGTCAATACTTTTCCTAAAAGGTATTTTCTGTCAAACTTGATGCAAATATTAATGAGGCTGCAAGTATGTTTGCTCTGATAATTCAATAGTAAAACCCTACCTCACATCTATATGTTGAAATTTAAGTTAATTTGATGCTGCTGGATATTACTTCTGGCAGGACCTCCTAAAGTAGGGACCAGAAAAAAAAAAAAAAAAGCCTTTTCTATTCCTTCATTTCGAGAGGGTGCTGGTGAATTCCATTTGCTGAGGCGTGATAAAGACACAGAAATTGTCATTCAAAACCGAACCTGTTCCACACACAAATAAAGACGATGTCCTTCTAACAAACACAGATGGTCCAGGAATCCTGTCGTATCTATCCTTATTCATGTAGCTTCTCCTATAGCCAAGCTCGAATGCTGAAAATGATAATGTAGAGGAAAAGGAAAGATCAACCCTTTCCCTTTTCAGACCTGCCTTTATCATAAACAAGTCAGAATCTAATGTTGTTAAGAATGCGCATATATAAAGAAGGGGAAAATGAATTCATTTTGCCCATTGTTCTGTAATGTATGCACGTGAGTTATGAAATGCAAATTCTATTTTCGGCGATTATTTTCATGTGAGTTAAATGTTTTTATACTCGCATTTAAAAAGTCATTGTAGAATGTAAAGATGAAAGCTGCAATTTGTTAGTAAAATTTTTACTAGAGCAACATTAAGTTGTAAATTTAAAAAAAGCATAAGGAGAAAAAGCTCTATGTCTTCACACCTATTATTAATGACACTTTTCCCCTTGATTTTTCAGCAGCAGGCCCTGCACTTTCGTTTGGCACTGGGTTGTGCAAATTGTGTTGCTGACTCGGGTTTTAAGCATTTTGAGACCAAATGTATAAAATCACTTGGAATAATGCCCGGCTTATAGAAGTGTTCTGTAAGTGCTTGCTTTTCCTATCATTACTGTTATTAAACGTCACATTCAAATAATTTCTTTTAAAAAAGGCAAAGTTCATCCATATGTGCTTATACAGACATCATCATCCCCTGCAACAAAACACTAAGAGGGCTTAAATATGAATATCCTCTAGTTTCCTTCTTATGCAACTTCCAGCATTTACCCACATATTAATTTTAGTATTCTGTTGCTTAATGTCTCACTTGCTAGGCAAACCACTGCTGGTCAGGAGTCTATTCTGTAACAGAAATGTGGGGATGGCTCACATGTCTTCTAAATGACAATTCAATTTGCCCAATAAATTAAAGCTCCTAAAATAACTCATGGTCTTTCCTTGAAAAATATTTATCATGATTTCTGAGTGAAAAAAATTTATTTACAGAAATGTCCATTAACTGATGGAAAAGTGTATGTCTATCCGGTGGACTAGTATTCAGCTCTAAAAAGGAATGGACTGCGGCTACACTGATGTATACGAACACTGAAGACACTATGCTGAAAGAAGCCAGTCACGAAAGACCACACACGATTGTTGATGCGAAATGTTTGGAACAGGCACATCAAAATCAGAGTGACGACTAGTGGTTGCTTAGGGCTGAATTGAAGGGGTCTGGGGGAAAGATTGCCAATTATCAATAATACAGGGTTCCTTTGGGGGTGATAAAAATGTTCTAAAAGTGACTGTGTGATGATTGCCCACTTCTGTGAATAAAATAAAATCCTCTGAATTGTGCACTGTGCATTACACATCTCAGTAACTTTTTAAGTTTAATCCAGTAAAAAGCTATTATCGTTTCCCTATCCCACATCCCATCATGCATGACAGGCCAAAAATATTACCAGTCAAAATAAATTTGAAGAAAACCCCAAAATAAATTTTCCTTTCCCCTAAAATGTCTCAAGTGTCCTCAAACTATTATATACTTAGATTTTTCCAGTAGATTCTCCTGTTAGCTAAGAGTGTCCCACATATCTCCTTTCAGCAGCTAAGTGTAATTTTTATGTTGTTGTGACTTAACTTTTTAGAGCAGAAATAACTGGATTCAAAGGCATTAAGATAGAAAAGCAGTGTAAATTGTTGAAGATTTCAAAGTAATTTGGTTGTGCACATGAAAATGGGTGGGGTTCTACCTCTGTTGATCCAGAAATCATACTATTATCTTACAGAAATACTCATACATGCACTAGAATCAAGGGAATTGATCTCAACATGGTTTGTAGTTAACAAATTTAAGAAGGAAAAATTACATGACTTCTGCAAGTAGTAAAATATTTAAGCTAACAATATTCTCACACTGTAGAACAGCATCATTAAGTACAATGAATTAACATGTTCACCCAGGTCAGAGGCAAGCGCCCAGAGCCTATGGTTGAGTTTTTCACAGTATATCTCAGTTCATACAGTGAAATGCCACTTATATAGAAAACACTGCCTCACCCAACTTGGCCACAGTAACATAAACAGCAAACATGGACTTCAGTTTGGGCTACTGGGCAAGGCCAAAAAAGATAATGTCTGGTGAGAACCTGCTTCTGGTTCGGATACTCTCCCTGCATCCTCCCCAGAGACCTCTCTTCAGTCTCATCCATAAAGATACTAACAGCTTGCAGCTCTACCCTCATGACCCAATCACCCCATATCTTAATACCACTTCCTTAGGATTTCCATATGTGAGTTCTGAGGAGACAAATATTTAGTCATTAACCTTCTGCCTAACTATGTTTCCAATAAATCTAACTCTATGTGCACACATACATACAAACATGAGAAAAAGTTGGACACATCAAATTGCAATGAAATGTAATTTGCATTGCCAACTTATTTACAAAGGAACTGGGTGGCAACAGGATTAAGGATACTTTAATATAGGACAGCATGGGGCAAGGAAATGGACTTCAAAAAATGTTCAGAATTTGGTATTTGTGCCTAACAAACACAGTAACTGATGCTTCGCTAGCCAGGTTAATAGAGGTAAACTTTTATCTTTCCTTGCAAGAGTGGTTTCTTCTTGGCCTGAGAGTACGTTGCCTCTATGATTTCTCTTTAGTTACAGGGTATATGAGAATCTCTTGGGGGATGTGTATGGGTTTTCTTTTTAATTTAGGCTTATAAAATACATGCTTATATAAGAAAATTCAAACATTTTAGAAATATGTAATGGCAATCACGAAATTACTTCCATAAATCCACTCCCTTACAAAGCCAATAACAGTAATGTGGCTTCTCCATTATTTCTAAAAGCAGGTTATATTAAAAAAAATGCTCGCACAGCTTTACATTAAAATTTGCTCATTAGTTCAAAGACATTTCTCACGCTTAGTGGATAGAAATAAATCACAGGAAGGTACCACAATCTATTAAATCATCTACTTATTGACAGGAAATCTGGGCTGGTTTTACTCAGTACAGAACATAGGTACAATGAGCTTGCTGCATACACTTGTCAGATATTCTAGCCGGCATCAGCCTGGCAACATCCTATCTAAGAAGAGTTAGCCGAGATCAAGTATTCTCACCATAATTTGAAATTACTATCCTACGATTTGTAACCATTATATTCTCACCCACAGCATGCAAGACGGAGTATATATAATTTGGAAATGCTATTCAAAGTGCAATTTTTTTGTTTGGAATGGATCCTTAACTGTTTTCTAATTACAGCAAGTGAAGTCTGACACCACTTGACTGAGAAGCAATCAGGACCCTGGGGGCAATCAGGACCCAGGGCTCTGAACTTGTGTTTTACCAGAAGGAAGTGCAGACACCTAACACTTAGAGGACACTACTTTTTATGTCCTCACAAAAAGATTACAGTGCTTGCTACACCTTCGAATACATCCATTTTATTTTATTTCCAAGTTTCAATAGCCCTATATTGATATCCTACAGCTTGTGGAATAAAACCAAACTCACAAGCTCCCCCGACCAACCAGCCACTCAGCATACATCTGCATGGACAGTTCTTTGTGTCAAGACTGTACCACACAATTCCACACGTCTGATTTCGTTTACTTTGTCTCATCTTAGAATACCCTTCTCCCCTGCCCTCTCAAGGCTCAGCTCAAATGCCAACGTATACTGCAAAGTCTCCCTGGAAAATGAGCTTTTTCCTCTGCGCTACCCACGTACTTCCTGAACACCTCCATTATAGCATGTTCAGGTGGGAGTCTCAGAGGACACATCTTGTCAGCTTTCTCGAGAATTTGTCTATTTCCTTCATACAGACTCCATTACAGAACTCTGAAGAACATGCACCCCAAGAGTGTCTATGGAATAAACATACATTAGTTAAATTAAGACTTCAAATCCTTTAATCCCAAATTACCAGTCACAGACATTATTTAAAGGATTAAAAAAACAAACTACTTTCTCACACATTCTATTATATAGCAAGTCATTCCATTAAGTTTTTTTTTTAAAAAAGGGTCTTTAATAAAATTGACAAAATAGTCTACCTTTAGAATAATTCCGTTCAACAAAGCTGCATATGCTTGATATCTGCATCTTATTCCTAAGACCTCAAGTTGCTCATTTCAGAAATAAAAATGCAGGTGGGAGTTCACTGTAAAATAGAAGCAGCAATGATTCCAGCGTTACATTTCCGCTTTACATTCCTAGCCAGAACATAAAAATGACCATATAGCTTCTTCAATGCCAAGCTAAGAAAAAGCAAACCAAAAAAAATGCAACCACCACGAAGATAACGCCACATTAAAATCTCTTTCTCTTGATAATTTCTGGCTTCCAGCTGACAGGATGTGTTTCTTCTGTCTAAAAGCAGAAAAGTAAGTAAGTCAAAACAAATATGATGAGCTAACAAAGATACATTATCTGCAGTTCTGTAACAATTTCAGGAATACATAACAAACCTGACATTAAGGGATCTATAAAAAAGGAGGGGCTCACTACAAGTTGAGTTTATGGTTCATCTCAATAAAACTGCTATGTACACAAACTAAGAACAAGCTTACAATTCTAGAACTAATTTGCATAGCAACCAATGGCTGATTTATTATGCTGTAAGATGTGAAATGTAGAACTTACCGCTGTCTCATCCTCTCTGTACACTTTAATGGTTTTATCAGCTTCTGCTGTTAGCAACCGACTTTCAGACTGATCAAAAGCACAAGCGAATATTCCCGATTCGCTATCCAAAGACCCAGGCTGCACAGCTGCATGGACTCTCTGGAAATTGTAGCCAGTTCTCCAGTCCCAAAGATGCATAGTGCCATTGTCAGCTTAAAGGGAAAGAGCTGGTTAGACGTGTACCCTTCAACAATGCAGCCTGATAAACACTTACTAAGCACCAGCCATTAGCCAAGCACCAGGGTAACAACTATAGTTTTAAAATTAGATATAAAGGCATCTGAACTTCTCTTTGTCCACATTCACTGGTGCTTAATTCTAAATTTATTTCAGAGCTCAATAAGTACAAAATGATATCCAATTCAGAATACACAACCAAACTTTAGCAATTTCCAGCACAAAGTCTAACTTAGCCTTACTATGTGGGAACTCAAAGACAGCTAGAGGATGAACTATGCTAGGTGCACTATAAATAGGCATGAACACACACGAGCATCCAAATAAGCATTCAAGAGCACTCTATAACTAGGCAAGCTTTGAATAATACTTAAGGGTGATGACTTATAATTTTACAGATGTTTACACATTTACTGAAGAAAAAAAAAATGACAGACTAAAACACATTATCATAAAAATCTTATTTTACCTCCAGACACTAGCACTCCATCAGAATTCACTGTTAATGTGTTAATAATAGCATTATGACCAGAAAGATTCTGAATAAAACTTCCATCAGGGAACTTCCACTGTTTTATATTATCTGGAGAACCAGATGCAAACGTGTAACTGAAAGAAAATTAAAAAGTGTTAATGACAAAGAAAAACAAGTTAAATAAAGTGAATTTTAAAAAAGCTTAGCATATTTGTATTTTATGTATACTCACTGATCTATGTAGTTTTAGTCAAAAACTGTCAACCAAGAAGTGGATGGACATGTCAAGACATTTGTTTCAAGTTAAATCAGATTTTCAAATTGTTTTAAGTGTATCTAAGCCCCTGCATCTCATTCTCCTCTTACTTCCTCAGTAAGCTACTAGAGGAACTTACATCTACGCCAAGCTAGAGCCATAAATGTGCAAATGCCTCAACTGAATAGGAGCAAGCAAGGATTCATGTGACTATTTTGGAGACAGGAAGAATAAGAGACAGGAAGGAGAGAAAAACAAGGAGGGAGGGAGGGGAAGAAAGGATAAGAAAGGGAGAAAGTGAAGACAGGGAAAGGCAGGAAAGAGAAGACAGCGAGTAAGAGAAGAGAGGAGTGGGCGAGAAAGGGGACAAGGCAGAATGGACCCCCAAAGCACACCAGCGCGACCCGTGTCACGAAAGAACGCACCACCCAGGGACTCCACGGTTCCCGCTACTTTCTTCCATTTATATGAACTTGCTCCTTGAGAATTAAACTGTCTCAGTGTCTAATAATATTTAAGTCCAAAACATCAAATCTAGCCAGTATTAGTCTATCCTGACGTGTAGTTTTAACCATCCTTTACTTAAATGGTTTCACCTGACATTGTTACTGTTCACCGTGATGAAAGCTTCCCTTGACCCTGAGTTAGATAAGGCACACGCACAGCAATATACTAGAGAAAAACAGAAGTGCTGGCTTGTCAGTAGCCACAAGGAAACGTGTGAAGTAGCTAAATGACTAGCAAAGTAGGTCAAAGGCTGGTATTTCAGTGATAAAAAGAAGCTAGTTAAGAAAATCCACCTACTGTCTTGGATGTAAGACCACAGCCCTGACTGATTTCTTGTGATTTGTTAACGTGACTCTCGTTTTTCCAGCTACCAAATCCCACAATCGTATTGTAGTGTCATGGCTTCCTGTGATGAAAATACACAAAACAAAGGTCAGAAGAAAGAAACGCAAAGGTTAACTATACTAAAATATAAAACATTCTTCCACACACATGTATACTAAATATAAGCTATCACCTCTTGGCTAAAATGCTTGAGTTCTGAAATTCTAGGTTGACTTTAATTCTTAAAGAAATATACTCAACACACTGTCCATTAAATTAGAAGAAATCCAAATATCAAATAAAACAAATACACAATAATATCCCCTAATAAAGAGACTGAAAAAATTTTTTAAGTTATAAAATATACCATGTGGTGGATTTATTTCTCAGTCCTAGTGTAAAGATTCACTGCTTGAACTTTATTTTAAGCAAAAAATTTGAACCAGTTTTAAGCATTATTGGTCTCATTCTTCCTGTCTTCTAACTTCAATTTCTTAGACTAATAATTTTAACACAAAACAATGTTTAATTATATAACCATCTTCTAATCAGATGTTGAAGACATTATGACATACATGATGGATAAAAGTATGAGAATAAAAAGCACAATATGTGCTACACATACCACAATGAATTTCAGAGAACAACAATACAAATCAAGAGTCACAGAGAACATGAAAATCATGTATAATCATATGGAACACTGCACTCCAACAGAAATACTTGTAGACATTTAAATTTAGTCCTACCAGTAATAATTTGGGGTTCTGCCGCTTGACACCTCACTGTAGCAACTGCATTTGTGTGTCCAGATAGTGTGTGCACACTGGCTTTTGTTCTCACATCCCAAATCTGTAAAACACAACAGACACAGTGTCGCAGAGGAAGATTCACTTCTCAGGCAGGGAGCTAGATCAAGTCAAGGTTCCAAAGTTGCTACACAGCTGTGCCTGAGGATAAGTGAAGTACACAAGTGAAAGGTGCTCTGTAAGCCGGCAGCAGAATGCAGACAAGAGCAGTGCCAGCAAGCGCTGAAAGCTCAGGGGACGTGGCCTCAGCAGCCACAGCAGGAGCATGCAAGGAACTTAACGGACAGCAGTGGCGTACAGTGAGTGGCTGTGGTGCTTCCGGGCGGCGGATACCCCGTAATGAACTTGGCAAGGCCCAAGCTCTGGAGATGAAGATGGAGAAAATACCCATGAAACTGAGGGACCAGGTGTTGGCGGATCGAGGCAACTATCTTTAACTCTTATCAAACCACATATGACTCCAATATCCAATACTGCAGGATGCAACCTGACACAAGCTATGCAACCTCTAGTGACAGGCATGGTACAGATGGAGGAGAAATGCTCTGAAAAATCAGACTTTCCACGCTAATTTATGTTATGAGCTCCCTTTTTTGTATAATCGTAATATCAAAATATTCTGAGCAACCTTCAGCTTACAATTGGATTGCCTCAGCCTCAGGAGGCGCTACCTGGCCCTGACAAGCAAGTACTGCACCAGGGTGAGAAATTCCTCTGAAGTCAAAAGGGACTTGACAACTGGCTGATCAATAAAAGCAAAAGGGCTGTTTCTGCAAAGTCTCTCTCACTGCTGGATGGAGGAGAACCCAAATCTTATCATTCTACTATCTCACTTACCTTTCTAGTCAGCATCTAAAGAATTACTCAAACTTCCTACTGTCTGGCCTTTAGATGTGGAAATTCATCCAGGTTGCCTGTTTTAGAGCTAATCAGGTTTCCTACCTGCTATACTTCAAAGGAATTCACAAAAGTCTTCTGGTTAGTCTTTCAGGATTCTACTATTTAGTCTTTAGAAAGGAAATTCACCTATGTCTCCTATTTAGAGCTAATTAAGCTTTCTACTGTCTAGACCTCAAGGAAACTCACTTAAAACCTTTTAACAGGCCCTCCCTGGTGGCGCAGCAGGTTAAAGCACAGCACTGAGAATCTAAAGCCGCTTCGCATGAGTTTGATTCCCGCCTGCCCCGGAGGTGACCACATGGTGTGGCAGACCTCTCCTGGCCCGCCCGCTGCTCCCCTCAGCAGTGTACTTCGTCGATCTGCCTGTTCTGTTCCCCACTCTGTCTCTGGTGAAGCCTCTCACCGCCCCTGAGCCTCTGGCCTGTTCCCCAGTTCTGTATGCACAAATAAATAAATCTTAAAAAAAAAAAAACAAAAAAACACCTTTTAACGAGTTTTTCAAAGAACCTTACCTTAATTTGATTTACAAGAAATTTCCTCTTCCTGCCCTCACTTTACTTTACCCCCTAGGATGTCTCCATGAGAATGAAAGCCTTTAAGTAATAGATAATGTCTAAGGGACTTTATTTTGGTTAATCTTCACTGTGGTAAATATAGTAATATTAGTCTTAAACGTTGTGAATCTATGTATTTGTTTTAACCTTGATAGATTGACTTTAAAAATGTTATAATCTCAACTACCCATCAAAGGAACCCAGACTATTCTTAGCAAAAAGGTGATTGTGATCTCAACCCATTTCATATGTTAATGTCATCCCTCTGCCTGCTTGAAGTGTATAAAATAAACCTGCTAAAGGCAGAGCAGGAAGACTTGCACCCTCTCCCTTTTTCCCTTTCCCCCCCTTTTCTAGGAATCTCTGCTCGCCGACGCCATTCCCACCTTGAGACCCTGCCTGTTCTGCCCCCCAATAATCCGTGATAGGGGACAAAGTCTCCTAGAGCAACCCATTTCCATCCAAGCACCAAGCTCTCTCCCACTCACCCGTGCGGTGGAATCCCGACTACAGGTTACCAGAACATCGATGGTTGGGTGCAGATCCAGACCATACACTGCACTGAGGTGTCCGTGATAGTGCCTTATGACCTAAATGTGAAGCAGGAAAGTTAAACTTCCGAGTCAGAAAGATAAACTACGGCTCATAGTGTTTTAGACCACCAGCTATGCACTTACCTTGTTATATTCAAGGTCCCAGCATTTGACCTGCTTGTCTTCGCCGCAAGAGAACAGGTAGGGGCTCCTCGCACTCACTATCACCCCGCGCACTGTGCTGATGTGGCCCGTTAAGGACAGCTTCAATTTGCCACTGGCCAAGTCCCAGATCTGCAATCAAAGAATATTTCATTTTCCTTCTTCTGGTTCTATCAAGGCAAAATTTTAGAACCTTGATGTTAAAAATTAACTCTTTGCACAGTGAAAGATCTAACCCGATGAAAAATTTAAAATCTGCAAAATAATCTGGCCTCCCCAGTAAAAGCTGGGAAAAACAATCAAAAAAGACACGCATACTGAGAAACTATTTTCAACAGAGGACAAAAGGTTACTATTCCTCCAATTAGCTGCCAGTGCTAAGGCTGTGTAAGTTCTTTCCTGCGTCTCTGTATTTTCCTCATTTTCAACAGATGACGTGCCTTAACTTTGTAACCAGAGGGTGGAAAATCTAATTATGAAGGAATTAATAAGAGTCAGCACAAGCTGTTTGGAGAAAACGTGTTTAAATATCACTTTAAGAACAGTTATTTATTGGGAACTTTTAACTGGGAGACAATACATTTTATTCCATACTCAGGTCCAAGAAACCAGAGGAAAATTGTACATCAACAATTCCCACCCAAGGAAACCAAACAGACCACTCCAGGTACCCGGCCGGCACGAGGAGCGCTTCTGCCCGCCCCCCATTACCTTTATAGTCCGGTCGGCGGAGCCAGTGACAAACCACTGGTTTCCCGGCTCCACAGCGATGCAGCGGACCCAGCCCAGGTGCCCGCTGATCACCTGTAATCAAGCAAGTGCAGAATGGCCAACTGGTTACACGCAAGGTAAAGCTTACACGACTCCACCACAGCTGCCAGTGGGCTCTGCACTGTCTCCTTTATCTTCAAGTAAGAAGTTTGTAAGATTATTTAAGAATTAGATGTCAGGATGAGTATTATCTCCCGTGGCGGGGAATGGACACACCAACTGTGGTACCGCGACAGGATACCGCTCGCGGTCAAAAGGCTGCACCACGAATGCCTGCCACAGCCCGGGCGGACCTCAGAGGCAGGCAGCCTACTGCAGTCAGTCTCGAAAGTACATTCTGTACGATTCCAGTTAGATGTGGTGGAAAACACACATTCTAGGAGGGAAAACGGGGCTGGTTGCCAGGGGTGGGGATAGTGTGGCCATTAAAAAATAGCACAAAATGAACAACAAAAAACCTCGAATAGCCAAAACCCTCATGTCTAAGAAAAATCAAAATGGAGGCATTACAATCCCAAACTTCAAGCTGTACTACAAAGC